TCCCGACTGGGTCCCGACTGGATCCCGACTGGATCCCGACTGGATCCCGACTGGATCCCGACTGGGTCCCGACTGGTGCGCAGGTGGTGCGTAGTGTGGACAGAAGGACATCAAACGAACACTGGCGGGGGAAAAGCCTTCTTCTCCTGCTCTCCTTTCGTTTCGACATTTTGGCGATGTGCGTGGCCCATAGTCGAGTCATTATTTGTTCGTTGCTTTCATTGATTCATGTTTCCTTTATTTGTCAGAGTCAGAGTCATTGTCATGTTCTGAGTCTGCAGGTAAAGACTCGACTCTGCTTCACTGTGCTCGGCTAGGCTAGTACTATTCTTCCAGGAGCCATGCAGTGATGCTCGCAGCCAGTTTGGTCAAACCATTTTCGCATTGCTCACTTTGCATCTCGTCTCTATCACTCGCTCCAATGATGGGTGGTGGAATCCCCGCCACGCAGCAGCAGGTTCAGGGTGACTTGCCTTCATGGCTGCCCACTTGCAACACCTGCAAGCAGAAGGCCCGCACGCCAGACCGATTTCATCCACATGGTGCAATCCTTCTCTGGCCCAAAAAAGGCTTATGCAAGGACAGCACGCTGTGGGCTTGCTTGTCACTCAACTCAACTCATGATGTCACTGTGTAGGTCATAGGCTAGGCCCGTGTAGGGCTTTGAGAGGTTTTGCTTTCCTGTGGTTGGTGTGGGTCCTCTTTTCTGGCTTTGTGGCAACAGTGGTGTGGATAGGAGACTGGAAAGTGCACCAGGGAGGAAGGCAACGAGTGTGGATGCTGTAATGTGACCGGGTTGCCTTCAACTCTAAGTTTTACTTTGCTGTCAGTTTGGTTCAAACCTGAACTTAAGTTTCTGTAGCTGGATGCCGATTTTCCCAATGCCACCTACTGACTGGATTTCCCTTTGGATTGGGCCCGGGAGGCTTGTCAGTGTGTGATTGCATGCTGTTGCCAGGGCACACGGGTGCGGAACTTTGGCGGGGTCCCGCAGAAGGACTTGAATTCGGTCCTGGACGAAAGTGAGGAGCACAGCAGAAGTAGCAGTCCAGGTTCATAGTAGACCATGGCCGCTAGGGCTCGCAATGTAATGATCTGATCTATCATGATCTATCTATCTATCTATCTATCTGTCTATCTATCTATCAATCTATTATCTATTGTCTGTCTATTATCTTATATCATATATCTGATTTTGATCATCTATCATCTATCATCTATCTGGAACTAGAAGTGTAGCATGATAGGACTTTAGTGAATCTGAATCTGAACCTCAACATGTTTTTGCAGGAGTGCCGCAGCAAGTGGGAGGAGAAGCGCACTGAGATCTGCTGTCCTGTGGATGATGGGAAGAAACGGAAGTATGAGAAGTGTGACCTGAACTCCTACCGGAAGGAAGAAAACTTCACCAGCATCTTCCAGAAGGGGAAGGCAGAACCTGTGACTGACTTTTTGGTCAGCCAGGGCTTTGATGTGAAGCAGCTGGGGGATGAGGCCAAGCAAATCCAGTTTGTGCAAAATGAGCCCTGGCTCCACAGACGCGTCAACCATCACGTCTTACTGCGCTCAAAGGAACCAGCCAAGTCACAAGTCTCTATATATTGTAAATCAATCTATCAATTAGAATTGCAGGCTACAGGTCAACTTGTTTGGAGAGCGGGGTATTTGTCATCCGTGTGGGGGTGCCAGTTTCAGTTCGCTATTTTTTTTTAGGGGCGAGCAGGCAGCAGGCAATTGGTTTCCCTTGAAAGAAAAAAGGACTTGCAAAGCCTTTACAGTCGCATCCGTTGGTTGTGTTTGCCACCATGAATTCCGCAACGTTCATCGGTTCACTCGCGTCGAGTGTGACTGAGCCACACTGAGGAGCTGGGATTGACGGTTCATGATGACAACGGTGTGAGCGTTGTGGTTACTCTGACCGGGGAGCGGGAGGTTCATGTTGGAACCACGCATTCCGCAGCCAAAATGAAGGTCTGAAACTTAGACAAGACATGGGTCACGTGTCATGACCCTGATAATTCACTCAAATAAAATACAGCAATTATGAAGTCGGCCCGTCCTGCCAGGTTACAGGTCGTCTCAAATTAGAAGTTAGAGAGTTAGAGGAGCTGCTAGATTAGTTTGACCACAGTGGGAATATCATCAGACTATCGTCGGATTGTCAGACCTTGATTTGCTTAGTAGCAGCAGCTGCAATCTTCAGCTGGGCTACGATTCAAACCCTCACTAAGGTCCACCACCACGAGTCACAAGCAGCTGCATCAGCGAGCCATGCAAAATACAAGAATGATATGGACAACATGGCTAAGACCTTTGTGAGCCAGGGCTTGGTTCAGGACAAGATCGACGAAGCCCGCTCCAAGTTGGTTGCCACGGAGGTCATGTCTGAGGGTGTTGTGGCTCCGCATGCGGGTGAAGAGGGAACTTCCGAGGCTGAGGAGAAAGATATTGACATGTTCTCTGGCTCTGGCTTCCGTCAAGTTGTTGAGCAGCAGAATAGAGGCAATGGCAATGGCAATGGCAGTTCCATTCCCAATCAACACTCTGATGCTCCAGTACGGGAAGACATTCCGGCTCCGCACGTGGACAGAAACCCGCGTCAGAGTGGAAGAGATAAACTAGCATCTTCGCAGGTCGCCAAGGCCCAAACTCTCTTTTCACAGAAGCAGTCCCAGTTCAGTGATGCTGCCCTATGGAAGGGGGGATTCAAGCGAAGGCAGGTCCAAACAGCAGCCAAGCAACTGGATGACGCTGCCCAGAAGCTGGTTGTGGTCGAGGATTGCGCAGAGCTGGTTTCTCAAATTACGGACTTTGCAGATGGCATGGTGCGGCGTTTTGATGTGCTGGGTGCATTGAGAAAGGAACCCGTGACACACGCAAATGAGATTTCATCTGATGCAGCTTCAGTCATTGAGTCATTGAGCCCGCATCTTGTCGCACAGTGCTTGGTTCATGTGATTACCTCGTTGCTGAAAGACCTGGAGCAGGACTGGTTTTCCAGAATTTGGGCAGGGCCGGAGATTGTCGTTGTTCTCTCTCGGGTCCTGGCCATATCAATCAATAAAATATTTAATTAGCGTCATCCTCATCGTTTTATAATATTTAAAATTTAGTATTATTATTACTATGACTATTACTGCTATATAATATATTGTATATTAATTGATGAATTTCATCGACTATATCTGGAGGAGGCATCAACACGGATCCCGGCTTGCATGAACGTGATTGCCATTACACCGGATTCTCCTGGCTTTTGTCTGAAGCACTTTGTCATGGCAACGCTGTCTGCAAACGTTGCGAACCCGGACAGCGCCATGAAGAGCGCCGACAGCCTCCAGATGCAGCTCTTTTACATGATGCTGGACCGCATCTTCCGGATCAAATCAGTTGAGAAAACCAAGGAGTGCCTGTCGCTGCTTGTGTGCATCAGTCTCAGGATTTGTTTGTCTGTTTTTCCTCCCAGATGAGTATACTGTAGCGTGCGTGAGTTACAGTAGTAATAAATTAAAACGGAAAATCAAGTACAAACTCAGTAGTAGTATTAGTATAGTCTGGTCTAGTCTAGTCCAGTCTTGACAGTCTTTAAGTAATAAGTAATAACTATTTACAGGACTAGTATGAGGCATTGGTATAGGTCATAGGACACGTACAAGCCCAAACCGGGACACTCGGTACTCTGTAACGGCACATGTTTTGACCAAGGCTTCTACCTGCGTTGGACCTGGGCATTGATCTTGCAAGCATTCCGGCAGAATTTAATCCACGACTGCCGACGACTGCCCCGGGCATCGAAGGCGCTGCCAAGTACTACAGGCAGTTAGCTTTCGATTCACAGGTTGCTCGCCTCGTTGTGACAGAGTGGGAGGCAGGAACTTGTAGCTGCGGCGGAATCGGCTTTTGGGAATGATTCGATGACGAATGATTCGTAATCCATGGTTGGTTCATGATTCACGACCTATCATCGTCTATCAGCCTATCAGAATCTGAATCATACATCATACATACAGTTTCCAAGCTGTGTATTAATGTTCACTAGGTTGAACAGAAACTGAGACGAATACTGAAAACACACGGCGACAATTAGGATTCAGACTCAGATTGGATTCAGAAAGCCAAGACTCTGAGATGGCAAGTGGTTGTTTCAGCTTAGCTCCGTTTCCTCTGTTGTGCTCTGCTGCAGGCGGCCGATGCTCGTACCAAGCTTGTCGCAAAGTCTGTCACTGAGAACAAGGCAAAGTGCTCCGAAAAGCTCTTGCAATATTTCAAAGCAGGCGCGGGAAAGCCTCTTGGCTGTTGGCTGAAGATAATTGACTGGTCCAATACTGTCAATTGTCACTGTGTAAATTTAGCGTACCGTATAGTCGATAGTTGTAGTTGTGTAGTCGTCTATTTTTCTTCAGGCCAATGCGTATGGAGGTTCAGGCAGAGGTGGTTTTGAGTGGGGGAATTGGTTGGGCGCCTTGATTCTGGATCTTGACACTGTTGCTGAGGACGTGGTGGCACCAAATGGAAAGGGCAGGAGCTTCCGCTGTTCCACCCGCTACTCCAGTTGCAGAAGCAAAAGCAGCGCTGAAGGACCTTGAGGATTTCAAGGGTGTGGGTGATGCTGAGGCGTTGCTTCACCTTTGCTTCTTGCAGCAGCTGGTTGACCCGCTTGTTTCGGCCTTGACTTTGTCACACTGTCACCTATTTGGGTCAGGGGCTGACGCAGAGGAGGTTGCAAAGGAGCTGAATGCAAAGGTGTCACTCATGCAAGATGCCTTGCAGAAGCATGGGGCCGCGGCTGTTTCGGAGATTGCCAACTGCATGACAAAGGATGGGATTTCCAGGACGCCAGCAAAATGGTTGGAGCAGCCTGGAACCTTCAAGAACTTGTGCAAGCTGCTCTCTTCTTACAAGGCCGGCGGCCGTAGTCCGGATTCTGGGTTGTAGGACTCAGGTAAATTGTATTTTTACCTTATCAAGAACCAATATATATTTTTGCTTTATAAATATTTATAAATCGAATCAAATCAAATCATATCATATCATATATTAATTAAGTCTATTATCAATCGAGACCGGATTCTATAGTCAAAAGTCAAAAGCTTACTGCAACATACTGCAACTGGGACTCGGCACTACACTCTACCACATGGCAGGTTGGGGACTGGACAGCTATCAGTGAACCAGCTGCTGACCGAATTGCTCATGCGATCATGGAGAGTGTGAAGATGCTTGTCGCTGTCACTTCTGTGGATCAGGATTTGACGGTTGAGAAATTTGTTGAGGCTTCCAAGAGCGTGCGCAGGTTCCAGTCCAGCAGATCATTTGCCATTGTGGGTGAGACGACCAAGCAAATCACAGGTGCCTTAGCTTAGCAGAGGAAAATAGCATGTTTTTTTTGTGTGGGCTAGTCCTGTGGCTAGGGAGTAGGACTCCTGTAGCTGTGCGAAACCTAGAAGGTTCTGGGCCAAACTGCCTGGCAGATATTGACATTGCTGCGGCAGCGCTTGCATCGCTTGGTGACTCTCCGTCTCTTTGGTGCAACAAACTGATCAATGACGGCCGCAAGGATGAGTTGCTGGACCTTTCTACTTCTGCCAGATCGGGGCTGGGATCTTCAGTCGAGGGAATGCTCCGGGCCGCGCAAATCTTGAGGGACTTTGAGTCTCCAGAGGACAAGAAGCCAAGCATGTTCTATGATGTTCCTTGGTTGGAGAGGTCCATCTTGAAGAGCGGCGTTCAGGCTTTTCATGATTTGCGATCCAGTCCACTTGACCATGTCCCACAGATTGAAGGTGCCTTGAAGGTCTTGCGCCAGAACCTCATGGGCACTTTTGTGGAGACGACAGGTCGTCTGGACAAGATGAGGAGGGATCTGCAGGTTTTCTATGGCACAGCCTACGCCGCTCAGAAGGCCTTGGTGGGCGGCACTTCTAATTCCGACATGAAAGCTGTTCTGATGGCAGATGAGAACAAGGCTACTTGTGAGAGTGCTGTCAAAGGCACGCGGGGGCTGGTCATGTTTTATCATTTATTGAAGTTGGTTCCTCGGTCAGCTCAAGCCTTGGAATAAGAACGAGCTAGTTCCTTTGTGCTGCTTCATGAAATTTGAATCAAAGCCAGCCAATTGCCACTTGCCAAATTATAGTACCATTAGTGCGTACGTATTGTCAATGGACCAGACCAAATCAGTGATGCCGTGGCAGGTCTGCAGACCCTCATTGAGCTCGAATCGACTTGCGCCTTTCTTTTGTCTTGGAAGGCCGATCTTGAAAAAGACCCCGAGATCAGCCAATCCAATGTCTTTGCCAAGTTGGAGCTTGCGTCAAAGGCAGAGCCGACGTCACATCAGCTCAGTGTTGCCCTCTACTCCTACATGGCTGGCGATCAGATGGCGAATTGCGCAAATGATGCTTCTGAGGCCTTCAGCGACCTTCAGGCATTCCGGTCCTACGCAACAACAGTGCTTAAGGTGCTGAAGAAGGATGTCCCCACAGAGGTTGTGAATCGCTTTGACAAGTTCTGCAAGGACTCACCCCACTGACACACTGATCACTCCGTTTGTTCCACTGACTGACGAAGATAATCCCGGAGCTTTCCAGAGTAGCAGTAGGCAGGCTGACGGTGGTAGTGAAGGTAGCAGTGGCAGTACCTACACTACGCTACAGGAATCTCTCCCTAGCCTAGCCAGTCATTCGTGGCCAACAGGAGATCCAGCAGAAAGTGAAAGAGTCCAACAAGAACAAGAAGGACAAGGAGAAGGGGACGGCAGGGAAGGAGGAGAATGGTGCGACTGAGAAATCGGAAGCCGCTGAGCCTGCCAGTGCATCTTCTGCCAAGACCACCAAGCGCAAGCCGGCTGCTGAAAAGTCCGCGGCCAAAAAGGCTGCGAAGAAGTAGATGTCTTGCGTCCAGCCCGGACCCAGACCGGGCGAATGTAATTGAGAGGTGTGCTTGTAAATATTTCACCGCCGGTTTGAATGGCACTCTTGAGGAAGGGTGTGCTTATCTGTTTAGTTTGCCTCGGGCTGGTTTTTTCGTGAGAGTGAATGTCATCAGGCAATCCAAGACTATTATAATATCCACTACTACTACGTGTCATCATGTAAAGAGCCTCGAGGCTGTTTTGGAATTACTGGCGACGCAGTAGCACGTGTCTCAATTGTCAAAGGGCCGGCCTTTCACTATGTTGAACTGGCGTTCTATTAAATTCTATTCTATTCTTCTGTCGAGTCATCTCATATTCAGACAAACCAAAGCACTGCAATCGTTGCCTTTGTTTTGTGTGTTTTTTCAGACGCACGGCCCCAATCCATAGACAAGTACAGGATCTGGACAAGTTCTGGGCACGTCTGGATCACATCACAGGCCCAGCCGACCATAGAAATCCTAATCTCTGCTGATTCATTGCGTTTGGCGTTTGGAGAGCCGAGCTGAGCAATGATGTCCAGAGAGACTCCAAGTGGCTGAGGGCGCTGCAAAAATTGTGAGTCATTCCGTCAGGCCATAATCCGTTGGCCGCCTCCCTCCCATTGCTTACAGAATACCGACTAACTGTAACTGAACTGATTATAGTTATAATATGTGTGTTTTCCGCTACCTTACCTATTTATAATATAAATACAACATAACTTAGTACCAAGTCGAGCAAGCCGAGGCTTTCGGGAAGATGCGGGAGGCAATGGATCGCATTCGCAAGGAAATCGGGCTGGCGGATGTCAGCGAATCTGAATACCGGAAGATTTTAAGCTGCATTGTCATTGCCTGCGAAATCATTCGTGAACCTAGCTAGTATCACTGGCAGTTTTTCACTATTAGGCCACAGCCTGTCAGCTTCATTTTTTCCGGCTCAGGTATTCCTTGTCCTGCCGGACAAAAGATCCGACTTGGGGAGCAGGCTTGAATGCCAGGGAGGCTGAGCAATTGGACTTGATGTTTCACGTCGCCCCAGCTCCTGGGATAGCAGTGGGCAGCAAGGTCATCCAGTCACAGGAGTTTGTTCCGGCAAGATTTGGATCGACGATCGATCGATTAGTTTGCTGTAATCTGCACTCTGAGACTACCCTACCTCCGAGCACGCCGAGCACCGATTTCTTCTCTTTTCCTATCTCAACTTTTTCAATTTTTTAATATGGACTAGTTATCAGTTATCACTTAAACTTATCACTGATCACCGTGACGTACCTGCAATACGACGGTTCAGCGGACTTTTCGCCTTTCCGTTCCAGGTTCCTCCCACAAAGGTCTTTGCTTGCTCGGCTCCAATCTGGTAATGTAATAATTGTGTTAATGCACCCGGAGAACCACCCAGAATCTTGCTCACAAGAGCTTTCTCTCAAGTGTGACAGATTCAGGAATTTTAATCAAATCAAATCGCTGCAAACCATAAAACATGCCACCCTCCAGCCTGTGAGTGGACCTTGTACAGGTCAGGTTAGGCGTAGACTCGTAGATCTTAGATGACTCATTAGATGACTACTTAGATGAGATGCGGTTAGTTGTAAGTTCCAGGCTCTAGGTAGTTCTAAGTTCAATGTTGCCATAATCCTGCAAAGGATGTATGATGTATGAGGAGGGGAAAGGAGAGGAGAGGAGAAGGACAATGGTTGACTGGGACAGGGACAGAGTGACTGACTGACCGGCTGACTCTTGGCCACGCAGAACTGCTTTGACAACTCGATCGCCGGACAATCCGAAAATAGCTCCACTCATGTCAGCGCATTTGTCGTGATCTGGAAAAGATGAAAGGAGGAGGAGTCATGATGTGAGGAGAGGAGAGGAAGGAGCGTGGTCCTTCATGCTTCCACCCCCGAAACCTTGGTTTTGCAGCTGAGTTGCGCCGCTCGTTCACCACCGCTTAACTCTGCAGTCACGCATAAACAGCTTGTTCAACCTTTCAAGTGAACTGACTTTCTCACCATGCCGTTCCCTCACCATTTTCGACCTGGGAATTGAGTTAACTGCAAACCAATGGGAGCAAGCCTATTTCCGGCAAGAGCCCGCCTGACTGACTGACTGGACTGGACTGGACTGGACTGGGCTGGCTGGGTGACTGACTGACTGACTCGACTGGTCCGACTGGTCATCGCAAGGTTTGATCATCAAATCGGAACTGATGCTTCCCAAGTTCTCGGGGCAATTTGCCATGCACTGTCGTCGCAACCCGGAAAAGGATGCATGACGAGGAGTAAGGAGAGGAGAGGAAAGGAAAGGATAGCGTACTTCCGTACTTCCAGCCAAAGTGGCTTAGGATCTGAAGCGGTGGAGCTGGAGCTAGGGTTGGAGCTTGGAGCTTGGAGGTGGAGACCGCGGTTTTGGAGGTGGTGGACTATAGGAGTTTGGGGCTGGCATCGGTGCTCTTGCGCTCGCACGTGGTTTGTGATGGTTGCGGGCTGCACCACATATATAAAATAATATTACATATATAGGCGGAAGGACATTGTAACTCCGTAAGCGTTCTAAGTGTATATTCTCTGTAGGCACTCACCTTGGAGACAAACCTGGGCAAACAAGTTTAAACCTCTTACTCTTACACCTACAGAGCTACTTAGAACTTCTTAGAACTTCTAATTTCTAAGCTCTGAGTTCTAGGCTTCTTGGCGATGTGGTGGCAGCACACGTAAGCACATAAGCAGAAGCAGCATATGACACAGGGCAGGGCGTAGAAGTGTGGGTAGTGTGGGTGCGTAGGGCCGGGTTTGTGGACAAGACAGGACAAGACAATACCAGAAATTCTATGAAATTCTTAGGTTGAGGAGCGTGGCTCTTTGGTTACTGACGTAATCAAATCAATGGGCAGACGGACACTGCGTACTGATGGCTTGAGTCCAACGTTTCTTGGCTGGATGTTGGACATTGAATTTGCAATGTGTCAAGTTTTGTCATTATCAGTTACCAATACCAATTGATTCAGGCTGACGACAAATTCCAAGATATACGATTTCCGGAATGGAATCTTGCTGGATGGTCCTTTCCTCCTAGCTTTGCAAGAAACCCAGGGAGACGGGAGACTCCATGTCTGCTTGATTTTTTTGTACCAACCAAACCAAGCCAGACAAAAACAAACCATGATCATTTTGAATTCTGCGGATTCTACGGAGTGATAGCCGGAGGCACGCTTTCAATTTGGAGATGCTGGATATGGGGTCAAGATTCAAGCCCTGCTTCTACCGATTGTTGACAGGCGCTGCATTTTTTTAGGTGCGTGAACAGTCACCGATCACCCCTGCTTCTGCTTTTATGGGTTGGAGGCAATGCCATGACTGTCCCTGTAATCGGAGCTTGCTTGACTGCAGCATCTCGGACAATTTTCCAGATGTTTCATTACACTGACACTGACAGACTTTGGTTTTTGGATGGTTTCGGCAAAGCAAACAAAACATGGCAACTGACCGCTAACTGACCGACCGAGGCACTCTTGACCAGTGGCCTACGAGACCATTGGACCATGCCTTACCTGAGCCAGGCCCAGATGTCTCACCCTGGCGGCGTGAGTGAGCCCGCGACTCCTTCCGCACCATCGATGTCAGACTCGGACTCAGACCTGGAGTCAACAGAGTCAAGCGCAAGCCAGACTTTGACATAGCCATAGACATAGACTGGAACAGTTGGCGACAAATTAACTAGGTCATGCATGCTGAGTCATGCTGCTCATGCTCTCAAAATTTGAGAGGCGCTGGGCCGACTTGGGTAAGTACTGTACGGCAGCGGCAGAATCTGGAAAAGGTTGAAAGGTGCTTTCCAGAATTTTCAAAATCCGGAAGATAGAACATTTTCTCACTTCAACAACAAATACGGATCTGGGTTTTGGAAAGTAGATTAGATTGGCCCTTTGATTGACGTCTTCATTTTGGAGTTTGAAACGGAGGCTGCAGGACCTCACATTTTTGTATGGCAATGCCACGCTGCAACACTGACAAATCTTCAGCCATTTGGTATTTTGGACTTGGTAGCTGCCTGCCTGCCGGCCCGCCTTTGTTGGTTCACAATGGATTTGATTCTGAGGGAGTCCTCGATGGCGGTCATTAGCTTGGATCAATTGGTGGGAATGAGGCTCAGGAGACTTGGACCCCTTGACCTAGAGCCCGAAGAATATCTTCTTCGGCCAGCAGTAGTTGAAGATGATGGCGAAACCACAGTGGGAAGCCCGGCTCGTTCTGACGCAACCACGCTTACCAGATCGACCATAAGCAAGCTGGCCGATCAACTTCTTCGTTTGCATGTGGGTAATGCCAGAATCACCAATTTTTTCAAGAAGGATCTCGGCAGGGCCAGAAGAGGCGGCCAAAAGCCAAAGTCCGTATCCCGAAGCGTCAAAAAGACGCATGCAAAGTTGAAGAAGTCAAAGCAACTAAGCATTCGGGACTACTTTTGTCCAAGCCGATCAAACCAAATGAACACCTCTCAGTAGTCAAGTCGAGTTGGTGTTGCCAAATTGCTGCATGTGGGAGTGCCTTGAGTAACACCAACTTACAGACGAAACGATTTGAAGTTTGGATGGTCGATATGGACGCGCAGAAGAGAGATGAAAAAGACATGCCGCTTTCGTGCAACGTGCTGCTGTGTTCCTTTTCTTTGCTAGGCAGCCAGGCGTTCAGATCTTTCCTTTATTAGGCGGCCAAACGTTCAGACTGATTGTTCAGAAACACCGCGAATAGGAGATTCAGGCACCCACATCAATGAAATTATGCACTACCGAAACCCCCTATAATCCCCTATACAAGCACCAGCCTCAACACCCACACGATCCCACTTTTGCCCCATGTTTGTGCTGAATAGACCCCAGAAAATTAGACTGCCAGCACCCTCCTCACCCCAGGTTCTTAGATACACACCCCACATTCTTTGATTCCTAATCCCTGGTGTAGTATTTCCTGGCACCAGAAAACAGCCCGCGGCTATGTAGTTTTAAGCCACGCAAGGGCAACTCAAATTATATATACCATATGCGTTGTTACTTTGTAAGTAGTGGAGCTGAAATCCCGATGACGAATGAAACCTTTGCCTTTATTTGGAACGGCTTTGGCAACAAAGAACTAAATGACAGCGAAACGTCTTCTTCGTTTGAAGAAAGCTATGAAGCAATTTCATTAGTCCAAAAGCCCACAAAACCCCAATGGAGAAGGCAACGCGACGGATACTACAATAGAAAACCGAACGACGAACAATATTTCCAAAGATATTACCAAGAGAAGACGAAACGACCGTACGTATGCGATATATGCGGTTCTGCCATGAGTTGCAAGTCAAATCTGGTAAAACACAAGAAAACCAAAAAGTGCTAAAGGTGTTTAGTGTAAATTTATTATGATTTTATGATATAAGAAAACATCATAAAAATATAATCTTAATTTTTTTAGTGATAAGATTGGCAAAAGAAAAATTGGCAAAAGAGAAGGTATTGGAAAAAATATATTACGACGTGGAGGAGGGCTTCGGTTCGGTGAGGGATTTGTACGAAAAGGCTAGGAAAATCGATATAGACATAACTTTGGATATGGTTTTACAATGGATGAAATTTTAACCAAACAAACAAACAAGAAATTACAAGAACCTTAATTCTTATATTGCCTCTTATCTTAAATATGAATTTCAAATTGATTTGATAATTATGACAAATCTATTCAGGGATGTAAAAATGAAATAAAAATATCAACCTATTTTTGGCTTGGTATCTATAGACATTTTTTGTAAAAAATGTCATATAGTGCCAATGGAAAATAACGACATTGATGGTATTTATGGTATTGTAATGGAATGTTTCAAGGCTAATGAATGTAATTGATTGAGAGAATGATAAGGACAATTAAAAAAGTCATTGTTGATAGGCTAAGAATAAATAAAGATAAGACTTGGGTAGATGTGTATTCATATGTGATAAAGGTACCAAATGATGCAGAGTTTTCGTGGTAGCAGTTTTTGTTCATGGGCAGAGGCAACTAAGGTTGTATCCTTTGCGCACAGATAAGAAAATAACTGCAACTCCAGACTGTGTGGGAAGCTACCATATCTTCCGGACTGTATCCGAATAGGGGCCAATGGTGAAAGGAGAATTTTATGAATAACCAGAGTTTCAGTATGAGCAGTTTGGAGCAAGGGCGTAAAAGTGCGGCAAGAAGCCGGTGCGATCGGCTGTATTTACGTAGCAGTTTGTTATTCCTTGCTGTATTTGTCATTATCCTTTGCAGTCTCCTTCCGAGCTGACGACAGTGAGGAACCACCTCCACCAGATATGATATTTATCATACAAGTCTTATGTTTTTGTATAAATCATGTTTTCTTGCAAAACAATTGATTACATTACATGGGTTTACGCCCCCGGAAATAAAGGAGAAGTCCATGAACATGTCCACCCCCGTTAGCTCCGGCTCAAAGGGTGTTGGTTGATGTGGGGGCACTCGCCCGCGTGCCGGTGTGGCGTCTGCCTGACGCTTCATCGGCTGCGCGAGTTGTGTGACTTCATCGACTCTCGACGGCGTGATCAGGGAGCTGGTGCGGCATCACCGGCGACCGGACTCCTCCCAGGGACTGGTGCAAGGGAGTCTCAGGGAGTTCAAGGGCAAGGAGGACCAGGAACTGAACAAGCCAAGGAGGAGCACGCCCGAGAGCCCGAAAGAGAAAGGTCATCGAAAAGGAGCACTGTAGAGGTCAAGAACGAAGGAGAGGAAGAAGATCTGCCCGATAAGAGAGAGGAGAGCTTAGACCAGTCGGAAAAGGACAGTCATCCCAGTACAGCCCCGAAGAGCTTGCCTGGTCGAAGAAAGACGGAGAGATCGCCTTTGCCCCGCAGAGAAGCCAAGAAGGAATCAGAGGAGGAGCTGGAGGAGAGTGAACGGGAGTTTGAGGCAGAGCTCACTCCTCACGAGGAGAAGAAGTCAGGGAGAAGACCATCAGGCGAGCATAAGAAGAGTGAAAGGGAGAGGGAAGGAGAGACCACTCCTCACTCAGAGAAAAACCAAAAGAGGAGGCGGAGAACCAGGAGCCGATCGAGAAGGAGGAGACGCCGAAGCCCTAGCAGAAAGGGAGTTGAGAGAGAGGTTCATCACAGAAATCCGGGAGGAGCTTCATCAGCATCAAAGCGTGAGCCAAAGCTCTCACAGCGTCCCACCAACGACCCATCTGCCAGGTTGAGACCGAGGTCACCGTCTCATCCCCCACCGTCCGGGCGAGGAGGTGGAGGTTATTGGTCAGGGCAAAACTACGGTCGAGGACGAGGTTATTACGGGGGCTCAGATTGGAAGAACAAAGGGGTGAAGAAGGTGGAGACACAGAGGAGTTTCAAGGCCTTCCTCGCCCACCGAAAGGAGCACCTGGGGTAGGTGAATGGCACCCAAGAGAAGACCAGCCGCAGACGTGAGAGTTCGTGGAGATCGTCGTGTTCGAGTACGGCCAGCCGCAGCGGAACCTCCTGAGGAGCCCGACTTCTCAAGGGGAGGACTGGTGGAGGGGCATCGGGTGACAGTGGGAGAGCTGACACCTGGCACCAAGATCTTTGCGGAGGCCACGTATTGGGACAGGCCAGCGGAGGTTGCAGGTGAAGTCATTGGAGTCTCCTTGGTGGGAGGCCAGTTGGAGCTGAAACTGCAAGCTGGGGGGACGCCCGACGAGGGCCTCCTCAAGTGGCTATCAGGGCAGGAGGACAGATGTCTTCGGGCCCATCTATGCACATCGCTTTGCACGAACAGCCCGGTGGCCGACGACTACATACACTTGAAGAAGTTGAGGAAGTTGGAGGTGGCCCCACCCGCATGGGGCGAGAACCTGAAGGAGGCGGCAGAGAGCGAGACGCTCAGAAGGATAGCGGAAGAGCCCAGCAGGAGAGACAGAGAAGCACGAGGGAAAGGAGTAGGCGGAGGTCGAGAGCCTGCAGCCGGAGGAGAAGCCGCCCCCGAAGAGTTGAGCAGTTCGAGCACGAGTTCATCAAAGAAAAAGAAAAAAGGAAAAAAGAAGAAGAAAAAGAAGAAGGGCAAGGCATTCAAGGTGCAGGGAAAGAAGGATTTGGCAAAGGTCTTCGAGTTTACAGGACTCGACCCCAAGCTCAAGAACCGCAAGAAGGTGATGAAGCGCGCACGAAGAGCCATGAAGCATCGCTCGAAGGAAGACAGCGGGGACTCCTCGTGCACCAGCACGGAGGGGAGTTCCAGCAGTGGAGACGAGGCCCACCTGTTCGAGGAGACGCACAAGATCAGGAAGGCTGCAATGAAGGGGCCTGGCGCCCTCTCGGCTCACACCATAGCGAGCATGTCCCGGTCCCTGCTCACGCACCAAGGCTTGCCGATCGAGATTCAAGATGGTCCGGTACCGTGCATTGCCCTCCAGTATCACAAGCAAGTTCTGTCGCAGAGGTTATCCCCGCCGTTGTGCAGAGAGAGCTTGAATCTATGTGCAGCCACGGACGCCATTTTGAGTGGGCAGGTGGCGCTGGGGGTAGACATACTCCTTCAGCGGTTGAAGTCGGTCGAGAGCTTGGGAGGAGGTCAGTCATGGGCAGCGTCACAGAAATTGGAGTTGGCACCCCAAGAGGGGGTACAACTTGCAGGCGTCGAGGAGAGCAAGACGGCCAACAAAGAGCTGCGAGAGGAGTTGAAGAATCGACAGGCCACGCAAAGAACATGGGGGAAGAGCGACAAGGGCAGTTCAAAGAGCAAACAAGAGGAGGCAAAGGGGAAGACCAAGAAGGACAAAGGAGGAGGCAAGGACAAACACAAGGGGGAACGGGAGAAGGAGAAGTAGATTCTCCTCCCCCATACATGACAGAGGCTGAGGTTGAGGCAGAGCTCGAGGAGATGGCAAGACTGGCTTCGCATGGGGCAGAACAGACCTCAAGAGTGCAGACAGATGACCTACTACAGTTGCAGATGCCGGATGGGAGTGGGAGACCCTATAACCACTCCTCGGAGGCCATTTTGGCCAGTACAGTGCCGGATGAGGATGCCGCCTCTGAAGGCAAACCTACAACCAGTCCGCTTGAAGAGCGAAAAAAGGAGTTGGGGGCGGGCGGTTTTCGTTTCGTCGACGTCGTGGGGGACTTGACCAGGGACCTGTCACCTTTTCTTCGCAAGACCTTGACCAAGGGGGAGGTGTTTCCACTTCCCTGCGGCAGCTCCCTAGCTGGGCCCCCGTTTGACGTGTTGGAGACCGAGGTGAGAGAGGTTTTGAGAGGCATGGTGATGGCTCTCAACAGTGTGTATGATTGTGGTCCGCCCTTAAACCAACGTGTTTCACCATTGCATGAACGTATTCTTTTTCAGTTGAGTGAAGAGGCCCAGAGGTTCGTGAGCAAGACGGGAAAATTTGAGAAATTGTCGTGGCACGACTTCCTTCGAGTGAGAAGCGTGGACTACAAGGGAGACGAGGTCAAAACCGCCCAGAGGACTTCGTGGGCACATGTGGCACCTGCGTTGCCAGAAG